ACATGTCCTCCGACTCCAGCTGTCGGCTCTTCCGGGTTGTCCATCGAAACCTCAGCGCAACGGCAACCACCTGAATCGCATTTGGCGGCTGCCTCGCTCTGCAATCGACAGCCTGTCTAGTGAGCGTCGCCACTGCCTGCTCCGGATAGCGAACTGTCTAGGGATCCCCTCCTCAACGAAACCCCTCCATGCATGCATCTTGGATCCTGGATCTTCGACTACCCCGTCAATGTCGATCGATCGCGTTCCGACTGCCGACTGCCGGACCCCACGACCTTCCGCCACTGAGACGCACTTACTGCTTGCTGCACGACGGTCATCGTGAATGAGGCGCAACAACCAGCGCACTGCAGACTCTCATGCATGCCGGAGGAAAAAGCTTGAACCTCTGTGATGACGTCTCGCCAATCTCACTGAATGCCGTCCCCAGTATCCCCGCTGGACGAAACGCAGACTATCACCAACTCTCGGCCCAAGGCCTTCCCTAGGCATCGAGTGGCAACTTGCTCCTAACCACCCAACAAGCTTGCATTACGTCTGTGCTATTCTTCGAATCCAACATGCGGCAAATACTCTCGCGTCGGGATACAGCATAGTGCGCCGACACTGCTGCTTGCGCAAACTGGATACAACCTCTCCTTGGATTCACAATATCGACTGGCAGGAATGAGGCCTATCACGAATAGAACACCGAAAATGTCGATATGTTGGAGAGAATCCTGACTTGCCTCGACACGGAGAGCAAGTCTGCACAGGCATGAGAGGGATTTGATTCTGTTCTTCGCAACATGCCCTCGGAGCCCAGCAACACAGCTTCGACACCTGGATGGACAAGCGACTGGGATGATTGACTGATGGGGCGGGACGCTGGAAGGCTCATTATGTTGTGTTACTGCAGTTGCTAATAATTGAAACAGGTCACGACATCTTGCAATCTCGAATACTCGACAATCCGTTGACGGTCATCTCGACAAACGCTGTTTCCCCCGGTCTTCGGCGTATTCCTGAGCTTTCAAAAGTCGATTTGGAGCATCTTGGAGTTGTTCGACGGCGGCTTTTCGCATTTTACTGAACGAACCTATCGGAGCGTATCCACTTCCACTTTACCAGGGTGTGCCGGCGTCAAGACATTCGTCTTTGCTACTTTCGATTCACGGAGTACGGGGTCAGGATACAGGTCGTTGTGTTCGATTCTTTCATCCGACTGCCCTTCGTGGTTTGACAAATCAGTTTTCTGTTTTGCGAAACGGTGTAACGGTATGTTTCTCACAGTTTGATGGATCCAGTTCGAAACGAGTTCGGCTCGAACAATACCCAAGGGACCCGACCTGATGATCCCGAAGGTGTGGTGTGGTTCGTTTGGTCACAAATAGACCACGACCGGTCACAATTCGTGTGCTCATTATGAGTCGGAAGCTCAAAACTAACTGATGTTGTCAAAAGATTACGATACAAGAGTTCCGACTTAACGTCACATTGAGATCAAGGCTTCTGACTTGTAAGTGGCTTCTGCAGCTGAAATCGCATGCGTGATGCATTGGCACAGGGTGCTTACGCAGATGACAGAGTTCTGATCTTGCTTTCTTCGTCCAGTCGATACCCATCTGCTGCTCGTCCTATGTAAGCATACACGGCTTTTTTTAACCCCCGTATCCTTTGTCCACACGCTTGATACATCCAGTGCATGAGGGTCCTCTTTGTGAGCCCCTCATTCCCAATTGGCTGTCATGGTCATGTTCTTGATTGCAAGAAACCGCAATCCACTCCACGCTTTTCCTAAAATCATTCAACGCCTCTCCTCGCCTGTCACGACCAGGCCAACCACATGGGTGGACAGGACCTTTGAGATCAAACTTTCCCACAGGGTTTTCTGTGTATCCCTTGTCGGGCGCCTTTGTTAGGTTCCGCTGCCAAGAAATCACCGTTGCTTTGCATCTTTTCACATGGCAAAGCGTTGATACCGAGAATATCGTGCAGGTAACAGTCCATTCCAGTGAATGAGGCAAGAGCACGATACTCACAGAGAAGGACCAAGCGCTTGCTTGAGCAACTTGTTCCTTCTTGCCGCTTATCCCGTTGTTTTTGTCCTCATTTTTCCTTCATGATTCGCCATTACCTCGTCTCCATCAAACAAGCTGGAGTCCAAGCTGACAACATCAACCAATAGCTTCTCTACCCACAAATTCCGACTTCTTTCCGAAGTTTACCCACAACAGCCTTCAACCCTTAACCCTCCACACAACAAATTCCGAAGTTCTTCCGAGCTTCACTTGCACATCACACCCTTTTACATCCTCACTGCAACCAGACGGAAACAATGGACGGAATGCAGCCTTACAACAACGGCACTCCGGGTGCCAACGGCGCAAACGGAGATGGCTATGGAACTCCCGTTGCTGCCGGTATGGGTTATCCGCCCAACGCCAACGAGCTCACTGGCCCTGGCAACTCCCCTGATGGCAACAAGACAACCCTTTGGTAAGTCAAGGCTTGCATGCCTTGTATATCTCATAATTGCTGACCTCTTTCCCTCTTCAGGATGGGAGAACTCGAGCCTTGGATGGACGAGAACTTTATCAAGGGTGTCTTTGCCACTGCCACTGGTGAGCAGGTCAATGTGAAGGTCATCCGTGACAAGAGCTCCGGGTATGTTCTCTCTCCCAACTTTCCCCTTTAACGTGGGACGGATCAGCCTCCTGCGAGATCGGATATCAGTGGTCGAGGTTCTGCAGGCTCGCTTTATTCTGTGCAGGTCCGACTGACTCGTCTTAGCAATGCTGGATACTGCTTCGTTGAGTTCAACTCGACTGATGCTGCCTCCAAGGCTCTTGCCCTCAACGGTACTCCGGTCCCTAACTCGGCCCGTATGTTCAAGCTCAACTGGGCCTCTGGCGGCGGTATCAACGATCGCCGGTAAGCATGATCACACTCAATCTGCTGCTTGTACCCAGCTGACTGGTGCCTTCAGTGATGACCGCGGTCCTGAATTCTCCATCTTCGTTGGCGACCTCGGCCCTGAGGTGAACGAATTCGTCCTCGTCTCGCTGTTCCAGGCTCGCTTCCCCTCCTGCAAGTCAGCTAAGATCATGACCGATGCTGTGACCGGACAGAGCCGTGGCTACGGCTTCGTTCGCTTCACGGACGAGCAAGACCAGCAGCGTGCTCTGGTCGAGATGCAGGGCGTTTACTGCGGTAACCGACCTATGCGCATCTCCACCGCGACGCCCAAGAACCGGTTGGTCGCCTCCAAGAAATCCTTTCTTCGGTCCGATGCTGACACGTTACAGTAACCACGGTCCCTACGGCGCTCAGCAGGGCCACCAGATGCCTCCTGCCATGCACCCTCACCAGCCCCAGGCTTTCTACGGTGTCCCCCCCGGTCCCCAGTTCAACCAGGGCTATGGCGCTGCTCCCCAATTCCAGCAGCAGCAGATGAACCAGTTCACCGACCCCAACAACACTACGGTTTTTGTTGGTGGCCTTTCTGGCTACGTTACTGAGGATGAGCTTCGTAGTTTCTTCCAGGGCTTCGGTGAGATCACCTACGTCAAGATCCCTCCTGGCAAGGGCTGCGGCTTTGTGCAATTTGTCCACCGCCACGCCGCTGAGATGGCCATCAACCAGATGCAAGGATACCCCATCGGTAACTCTCGCGTCCGTCTCAGCTGGGGCCGCTCGCAGAACAACTCGGGCGTCGGTACGCCTTACCGCCCTGCTCCCCCCCCTCCCCACTACTTTGGTCCTCCGGGCCCCGGTGGCCCTGGCTATGGCCCTCCCTTCGGCGGCCCTCCTGGCCCTCAGGGTCCTCCTGGTCCTCCTCAGGGCCCTCCTGGCGGCGGTCCTCCTCAGCAGGTTTGTCTACCCTAATCACTTTCGGGCTGTATCGATCTGACCCTTGTGCGCACAGTAAACGTGATCGGCATTTCCCCCCGACTTTGCACGCTTTCTTCGCCTCTTGCGCTTTCGCTTTCTCACCTCTGACATCCGTCATGGTCTAGCCTGTTGGCGTCTCGGCGAAGCGGAGTTTGGGATCTGGTCAAGGCATTTGACCACAGCAGTTCATCCTCGATTTCCTTTGTCTTCACGCGTATGACGATTACGAAGCTTCGCGGCACTCGACAGTTCTTTCTACGCTCACTCGACGCACTGAAGGCTTGGTTTGCAATGCCCGTCCTTGCACACCACTCCACTCTGCCCTCCTTTGCGCTGATTTTGGCTTGGTTTACTCGGCTGCTTATGCTTAGTCTAGTCACACGATCAAATCTCAGTTTCTGCTTTTCCAGTGTTGTTTGCTCTTGCTGGGCATCGTTTTCTTTCCACACCCCTGGGGTTCCATGCGTTGCTTGTGTCTTGCTCTTCTGGATGTGGAACCGCATGCCTTGCTGGAAGGAAAAGCGCCTGTATTTTGTGATATCTACCTGAATGTCTGTGTGCTCATCTTGTGTATCTGCGTACAACTGACTGAACTGGGGCGTTTTCCGGATGATTCTAGTCTCAGCTGTTTTGCGATGGTGCGAATACCTGGGTCCGGCGAATTGACTTGTTCGAGACGATGCTCGTGGGGCGTATCAAGGCGGATAAAGAATTGCAGAATTAGGACAAGACTGTCCATATTATCTCTTGTGTTTGTAAGGCCGCTGCCCTCGACTCTCGTCTCATGACAACCTCTCCCTCTGTGTTGATATTATGTAATTGTTGCGCGCGAGTATCGAAACGGACCATCCGTTGATGAAAGGACAGCACTGGAGGAGATTGACTTCCAAACAACCCTCGCCCTCCGATGGCCCAAATTGCTGCCGCATTGCAAGAACTGAAGCTTGGGGCGCTCTCGGATCGTTTGGTCGCGCCTTGACCCAGCAAGCTATCCGATTTTAAGCTGCACACTGCAATATTACGGCGCTGCTGTGTATTGCTGCTGCCTCGAGAGGAGAGAGGCATATCGATGTCAGCGCCATGTTTCAATCATCATTGACCAAAGCATCAAACAATTGCTACGGAATCTCTACGTCAAGCCGGTCAAAGATTATGTTCATGAAGTCCCATCACAATCGTAATTCGTTCGCGCAACCCCGTTCAGCTAGATGTTTTATTCTTCTAAGCCTCGAAACTCGCCTCCTCAGTCGTCTCGATCCGGGTAGTACGACAGCGGGTGGTAGGCGTCAAACTTGTCCTCAATCTTGGCCGCCCTCCCACGGGCTCGTGTCAATCTCGGCGATCGGGGTCGAGCACTTTAGCCGCCAGCGCGGGCCTGGGCCTCGGGGCTGTTATAGGGCACGCAGGGGAAGGCCGAGGTCGTCGCCGATGCCCGTCGCAGATGATGACGGGCTCGCCGCCCGCACGGCGACTTGACGTTGAAGTCCTTGATGACGATGTTGTCGCAGACGGCCGAGTCGGCCGTCGAGCAGGAGAGGCGGGCCACGGCATTGCCGTAGACGCCCGACGTGTAGCCGATGAAGTTCTTCGAAGCGAATGTTCGTGATGTCCATGCCTGAGGGGTACTTGTTGCACTCCTCGACGGACTTGTTGAAGTAGCACGAGTCGAGGATGATGCCATAGTCCATGCGAGCGACCCAGAAGTTCCTGCGCCTCTTGTGAGAAACCGACTTGTCAAGAGTTGGGGGGGGGATCAGAGCTTGGTCGTACTTGAAGGTGACGTTGTTGACGTAGCCAGTGCCAATGTCGGCGCCGGCCCAGATCTTGATACGGGCGCCAGAGTACTGGTGAAAAAGTAAGTATGTTTTTCCATAGTTGCTGTGTTGAGTCGTGAATAATGGGACTTACATCGCCGTTCATCATCCAGACGTTTTCAATGTGGACGTCATGCACGTTGGACACCTCACCCTTGTACTGACCGAGAGATCCCATCGACTAGAAATCGTCAGCTTGACTGGTCTCGCTGGGGATAATCTTTGCTCCAAGCTTACCTGTCCGTGAGTGCCGTTGCAGTACATGGTGTTGACGTAGAGGTCGGAACTGTTGGGCTTGGGAGAGAAGCAGTCGTCGTCAATGTTGACCCAAACGCGCTCGATGGAGACACTGGACGTGTTCATCGTGTTCATAAAGTCGGTGTTCTTGGGGATAATGCTGCCATTGTTGGAGAGAGCTGTGGCGATGACGTCTGTATACCTGACATTCTTGGCTTAAGAAACGCGTTAGTGAGACAGACCTTGGCAATATCTATCGAGAGGGTCAACGTACAGCTGACGATGAAGTTATTCCAGCAAGGAGAGTCCTTCAGATGGATGCCAGAGACGTCCAGGTTGGTGGTGTTCTCAGCATAGAACAGGATGGGTCGATAGTACTTGTTGCCGGGGTTCTATCAGAGTAAGTATTGGGAAGAAGAGGACCCTGTTGTCATCTAGACAGCTGGGCTTACCAGAATGCTGAAACATGTTAGCTATCTGTCGAGAACGAGAGGAAATGGCTTGCTTACGATCCCGTGCCGGCCTCAAACTCGTTCCACCAACGTTGACCCTGACCCTCGATGACACCCTCACCATAGATCTTGATATCGTGGCCGCCCCATTTCCCTTTCATGTTGTCAGCACTGAGCAAGAAGGCCTTTCGGGAGAGGCATATACTAACAGAACATAATGGAGCGCTGGAAGGGGTGGTACCACGCGTTCTTCTGCCAGTACTCGACATCGTTCGTGAACTGCATGCCATCAGCAACCGCCAAATACAAATGTCTATGCCCATGAAACCGACCTTGATCTCGCCGTCCAAGCGGACGTGAATGTCACTTAGGCCCGTCAGATCCAGAACCTTGCCAATGACAAAGGTTTCTCCCTCGGGCAGGTAGAGGGTGCCGCCGTTGTTGGCCTCTTCGACACCCTTCTTGAACTCGGCTGATACGTCATCTTCATCATCCTCAGAGGCTCGAATCCTGACGATCTTGCGGCAACCGGGTTTAGGATTCTTGTAGGGGTGCTTGTCGCGGAACTCGAGCACATTTCTCGGAACGCCTGGCGGTAGAGAGACGGCCTCGACGGCAGCCGTGGCTGCGACGGCAACGAAAGACAGGACCTGTGAGAAGCGCATGGCAGCAGTGTGTGTGATCGGGCGATGGTCTTCTGCCTCAGAACTGCGATGACACCATACCACCAAGCTTCATGGTGTGGGCGAGGAGCTTGAGCACTTTTATACCCTTGACTCCCAGGCTCTTTATGATTCTGGTGAACCGCAGGCATGGATTCCCCTCATTCTGGTGGAGGGTTCAGTGGGTATTCCGCTTGAGATACGGGGTTTCCAAGACGGACTGTCGGGACAGGGGGGCAGCGGTTCCATTGCTACTCGGGCTATCATCGTGGTTTGGGTCATGCGAGTGCGGGGCGGCATGTAACCAACGCGTCTCCGCGTCCTTTGCGGGTACGGTAGAGAAGGCTGCGAGGAGGCCTTGAAGCTCTCATCAGGGAGCTTCATGAAAGCTCTCCCCGCCGGAAAAGCGATGCAGATGCCGATTGGATGCGGGGAAGGCTCTGGGGAAGCTTGGGGGAGGTCGGGGTAGCTCGGCGATGGCCCTGGTCGCGGTACATTAAGGTCGTGGGGGAAGATCCGTCAAAGGTTATCGAGAGCCATTGGTGGAAGTTTCATGCAAGATATCTCCGATCCTGAGTGGGCTGGTCCCTGCAAGGCCTTAGTAGCTCGACGGGTCCTGCTTGGTCTGAGCCAAGGTGGTGTTTGGTTCGTTTGGTTGCTCTGATGATATCAGGTTGGCGTTAACCGTTGCTGGCCTGGCCTCAAGGTTATTGTTTGTTTGGGTGTGTGATACATGGGGCTCTGTCTAGTCCTCTCATTCCGTTGGTGGTGGTCGGTTAGCGGCTTAACTGCCGAACCCAGGGTGACTTGGTGGCGCCACAACAAACCAGGGGTACTTTACAAACGAGATATCCTGGAGCAAGCGGGAGACGTCACAAATCTTTCACTGGACTGTATGGTTCACTTTTGCGAATAGAGACTGAAGATAACATCGTTGACTGAAAGCCCAAACAATGTGAGTGACAAAGCTCACCCACCGTAGACTTCTCTCGGGCGTTGGGCGAACAGACCGCGATTGGTTGTTTAAGACAACCGAGAAAGCAACCTCGTGGGCTCCCCGATCGCATGGTTTGTGGTCGCATGCAGAGAGCTGATCTCAAGGGTTTCACACGGGGAAGCGAACTTGCACTCTGCGATCCCGACGGCTTGGTGCGGACCTATCCTTTATAACACCCCTGACTTTCCCTAGGAGATGTCGTATTCAGCTGAAGTCACATGTGGTTGAGTGCCATCGATCGCCTGCTACTGCAGGTGAGGCTGTCAGTACTATGTGGCTCACAACTTAGTCGGCAAAGTCGGCATCTTAAGTCTGTGATTTTTTCACGGACTATTACCACGAGGTGAATGCTATTACAGGAGAAACCAAGCTAGATGGCACCGTTGAAATGTCAAAGTTATATAGAAGCCATGTGTATTCCTTTTCGGGAAGATTTGGCCGTTCAGAAACTAAATCAAACAGCGAAGGCAGCACCAGCCAGTATCATCTGATCGACAGAGAAGCGGTACTAGCTACAGCTTTGTGTACTGTTAGTTGCGAAATTGCAATATCCCTCAGCAGGAATTGTTTCCTGTTGTCTTTTTTGTATGATAAAGAAATAGTGTGAAATGCTGGTTCCAGGAAATCATCAAAAGGTAGCGACTGTAAATCCACAGCCACACGATCTGGGCAATTTCCATCATGATTGTACAGGGTTAGGGTTGTTTTTGCAGTCGACTGACCAGGCTCAGCTCCAAACAGTAGCTCTGGCGTCAAGGGTTCCCAGCCCCAAACACCAATGCCGCAAGGTCTTAGTCTCCCCCTGCTGTTGAATATGCCGAACACTACCAACAATGATGCCCGACAAGGGAAATACCCCTCTTGCACTCTAAAAGCTGCATATGCGATAGTAGTCAAGGTCCGTTTCCGATCATCCAACGGACACTGTCGACGCCCGATGCGAACCTTCTTGTCTTTATCCGACCCGCCGGGCGAGCCCCTCACTACCCTGCCTCCCGCTGAATGGTGGCATTTCCATCACGGCCCTGGCGCATGCAACTTGATCAAATTTGCGAGCAGATCATCCTACAAGTGCGTTGCCCAGCCTTTCGAGACATATCACCGGCATCGGGCTCCGCTTTCACCGCCGAGTCATTCATGTGTGCTCCCTCTTGCTGTTCGGGGCTGCTCTCCCGTGTCACGCCTTGCAATCTTTTCATTCGACTGGTGAACGCCTGAGATCCTATAGGTAGCCCGCCGCGTGCAGTTTTGAAAATGCCAGATTGGTTTGCTTGCTTTACACAGGATGCACTACTTAAGTGTGCAAATCGAGGAACTGATCTTATCGGCCAGTCAGAGCGAAGCCTGATTCAAATCCCCTTGTTTGCTTCGGTAAAGACTTTCTCGCGACATTTTCGACCCATACCATCGAGTTCATCATGCGTTTTGCTATCGTCACAGCATCGAGCGTACAAAATTGATGCACGCGGTGAGCTTTACACTGTCAAGATGTGGCAAACACTTCAGAGCTCTTCGGACTTGGTAAAGCTGCCTGCACGCAAATTATTAGCTCACTCAAGCACCTTGTTTTGGCTGGCAGATGGTTGTCGATAATCCTGCTATCCGCCAGCGGAGGGAATACATTGGCAGATAGCGCGAGGCACACAGTCTTGACAAGATACATGTGACGCGGGACTAGGAGACTTGAGTGGTAAAAGACCCAGATCGGTCACCGAAGTCGGCAGCCATATCAGAGTGGTAAGCAAGCAAGGTAGTCGGGGTTTGATCAACTACTTGCCTTACCTTACTTTCGTCACTTTTCTTCATCTTGGTCATTCTGTCCCGTCGCCGACACCTCATACCAGGATAGCGTCGGAAGCGCAACAGCCTTTGGCCAGTCGCCCCAGCCCAAGAGGACAAAGTCATACCCATTCTCAGCGCAAGACACCACTAAAAGAATGCTCGAATACCGTCATCAGCATTTTCCACATCAACGTTGCCTTTCTTTTTTGCCACGGGCACTGGCATAGCTGACTTGAGACCCCATATGAACAGTGAGTTCAATGCGTGGGCTTGAGAAAGCTGGTACGATGCGCCTCGTTCACGTCGTGAACGACCTCCGTCACTTGCTTCTGTTGTCGATTCTGCACAATTGAAATGCTACATGTTCGCACGCGAGACCAATACAGACTGGCTGTTCTTGAGGCTGTCCGGCACCCACAAGTGCGGCTGAGTCGGGGACGGCCATACCTCCTGACAACCTCCAGGTTCTGATTTGCTGAGGAAGGTTGTCAGCACGGGTCTAATTACGCCGAATTCTCCTGAGTTTCCATCATGGGTCAGGAGTAAGACATGGGAATACAATGGCGTGTACTTTTCAAATGTGGCGAGGTTTTCCCAGCCAGATTCTGTTACCTGTCTGTGTATAGCCCTCGTGTCGAACTTCTCTGCGCTTTCCATTTATGGTCAACCGCTTTCGTTGTCGCTAGCCATCATCACCATGCGAGACCTCGTCTTGTTTATGCTACTCTCTCGGATAACCTGCGCCCAGGTTACACAGCATGTAACCGATCTCTCGATCTTTAGCCTCCTGGCCCCGTGTGCCTCCTCCGCCATTGCGAACAAGGTCAATACCCTCACCGCGTCCACTGCCCATTGGATGTGGCACCGCCGACCCTGAATTGCAATCTTGCATCTGCTCGCAGAGCGACGTCTCAAGCCAGGTCGCAAAGAATGTGTCTGAAGCTGTACAAAGCCGCTGTGGCCAGAGCGCCACGGATGATCTATGGAGTGCCTCTGAGGTAATGAGGAAGTTCTGCAATCCGGGCGAGGCAGTGACACTTCCAACACCGACGATGGGTACTGTGACGCAGTTCATTACCGACATCGACAAAATGAGCTTCCTGCCACCATGTGTATATTCTGGGATATCATGGGTCGTCATGTTCTCGGTAAAGTTTCCCCACGGCAACGGACCCGAATCAGAGACCTGACGGAGCTGTAGGCTTCGTCGCACTGCCCCCGAAGTGCTAGCCTGTATGCGCCTTGCGTGTGTAGCAAGAGCGACGTCGTTGACCTGGTTCGCTCGAACCTGACAAGCAGAATCCTCGATCGATGCGACAACAGAGAAGATTTCGAATTGGCCGACCAAGTGTACTCAGAGTACTGTGCCATGAATAAAGGTACCACAGCCTTTGCGGCGGTCGCCATGCCGCCAGGAGATAGTACGTACATGAGCGAGAAAGTTGATGAAAAGCGCAGCTTACAGGGACTAACTCGCTGCAGTGACATATCACATCACAGCCTTATCCCAATACTCTTCTCTTCCCGAGTGCGCCAGAGAGGCTGTTTCAAGCGCTGTTATTGACGTGAGTCTCGGCAATGGCGCTCCATAAAGACCGAGAGAGCAAGTCTGACGATAGCTGCAGCAAACAAGTTGGAACTGTGCTGCAGGCCCACAAGCCATTGCCTCGTGTGTGTGCATCAAGGAGGGAATGCTCCACAAGGTCTATGAGAGCATGACAGCACGCGCAGGAAGCAACTGCGGCTTCACAAACAAGGAGCCCGTATATTCAGCCATCGATGTACTGAACTACTACTGCAGCGCCGCCGAGAACAAAGTTGTTGCTCTGGTCACTGATACGGCCACCCAACTATACCCTACAGCCTCGGAAGGCGGAGGAGCTGGGGCGGATGGCGCGAGGCAGACGGGGGGTAATTCCGTAAACGATGACCAAAGTGAGAGCGATTCAGCATTTGGCCCAGGAGTCATTGCTGGCGCTGCCGTTGGGGGCGTTGTTGGCCTTGCTGCCATCATTGGGGCTGTCGTCTGGTTTGTGCGGCGACGCAGGAGGGCGCACGATGCTGGGATGGCTGTCATTGCGCCTCCCAGTGATCACCCCAAGCCAGAGCTCGACGGCAGCGGCCAGAATGTACCTCGCGCCGAGCTTGGTGCTCTAGTGAGCAGCTTCACACAAGCACAAAAGTCATTGTCGCCTGATCAGGAGACTGGCGGTTCTGAACTCCAGGGCACAACCGTCGTTTCCGCAGAATGGCAAGGCTCACCAGCGGAACTGAGTGGGGATACTTATGAAAGACGCAGGGCTTGAAAGACGGATAGATTGGTAGATATGATCATGTCGCTGTGGAGGCGTTTTTCATGGGTAGAGTTCGAGCGATACTTGGCAAGCTTCGTAAGAGTCTAAAGTCACTCGGCGTGGCAACCCAGTGCTCCTCTTCGAGCGGTACGCATTGCCTGCTTCGGTATTCCAGCCCGCCTTGGTATTTCAGCCGGCTTGAAATCTCGATCATCTCACCAGGTCAAAGCCATAGTGTCAATTTTCTCCAAGCTATCAAACTCGCTTTTGTGCGCAATCCATCTGTGGCGTGGCTAGCCACCCCTCGGAATCTCCTGGCTCCCGCAGCGCTGCTAGCAAGTTGGAGCCTTTTCTTCTCATCCGCCATCATTGCCCTGGCGTCTCCGACGAGAAGCGCCTGAATGATGCAGCAGCCACACTCTTACCGAATCTCACCTCACACTTTGGCCAGCGGCTTCTTGTTGATTCTCGCCCGCATCAGTGCTGCCAAAGCCGTTGCTATCAGAGTCACCGAGCCCGCATAGAACATGGCTGGTCTGTACGCGTGCAAGCCGACCTCTGTACCACCGTATGCTTCGAGTAAGGAGCCAGCAATGGGTGCGCCCTATTCATGGTCAATCAATGGAAGCTCCGTGTAGACTTGGTAAACACCCACAAAAAGATATCCAAACACCCATCCCGTGACGATCATGCCCATGGCCGTAGACACGCGAGCAGACCCAAATACGTTGCCCACTACCGTCGGCATCGTTGCAAACACACCGCCATTCGTGAGTCCGTTGATAATGGCAAACACCACCAGTGGCGCAAGGCTGGTGGATGCCGGCCACAGCGCGATCATGCTCAGCGCGTTAATGACGAGGAACATCGAGAGCGTGTTGAGTGACCCTAGAATGTCGCATAGGTAGCCGCTGAGGATGCGCCCGATGGCCGACGAGAAGTTGAAGCCCGCCAGGACCGCGGCACCTGTCGAGCTGCTCAGGCCCATGGACCGTCCGTAGAGGGGGATGAAGAAGGGAGGCACGAATAAGGGGAACACGCCCACCAAGCCCACCAAGAACAGGATGCCGAAGTTGGGCTGCCGGAAGAGCGTCCAGTCGACGAGTCCGGTGGCCTGAATAGGGGTCCGCTCAACAATGAGCCATGCGGCCGGAAGACCCGTGACGGCGAGCGCGATACCGGTGATGCGGAACGCCCATTTGACCCCGTACTGCTCAATCATGGCATTGGAGGCAATGCTCATGACGGCGCCACCGAGACCGCCGCCCGCGTACACAATGCCGTTGGCCAGGCCGCGCTTCCTCTTGAAGTACTGCGCTGGCGCTAGCGAGATGGCCATGAAGCCCGCACTCATGCCTATGCCGAGCAGAATGCCCGGCAGGAAGAAGAGGCCGACGGCGCTGTCAGCAACGAAGCCGGCGCCGATCTGAGACATTGAATTCATTACGACGCCTGCGAGCGCCATCTTCCTCGTTCCCAGCGACCGCATGGCCCATGCAGCGAACAGGGCGACGACCGACATCAGCGCCGGCGACAGCGAGCCGCAGAAGGAGAGGACCAGTGGCGACCCGACGCCCCGTTCCACCAAGGCGCCTTGGTACACGCCCCAGCAGTAGCTGATGCCGATGTTCCAGAAGGCCACGACTGCGCAGGCCATGACAATGACCCAGCCGTAGCCGCCGTCGGGAACGGTGCTGTCGGCCAGGCGCGACGCTTCGAGTGCTGGGTCGGGGTCGGTCAGCCTCGCCGTATCTTCTAGTCGGCCAGCCCGGGTTTGGCGCAGAGTGGACCACCGGCTCTGGCCGTCGAGAGCACTGGACCGGAGATCCTCCAGTGCATATTCAGTTGCTGCCGTTGTCGCTGTTGCAGACATTCTGTCGATGGTCGAGAAATGCGCTGTCGTAAAATCGGCTCGATTCCATCACTGCAGAGAAAATGGCTTTATTTGATAGTTTGTTGGACGCTTGAACAAAGCCCCCTCCTACCGCCGGATTGTGACTCAATAGGGCGCATGTCGACGAAGGGCGCGTTTGATGATGGAGGAGAATTTAATTTTAGTCTCCGTTACCGCAAGCTCTCGGCGTAAGCTCTCGGAGTTAGGTTTGACCAAGAAAGATCATCTTGCCGCCAGCTACCGCATGCAATTGAGGCTCATGACATCAATCTCATGTGCATATGATGAACCATAAGAAGAGAGCTGATGTGGCCGAAAATCTGAGGCCTGTAGGTCGGCGTGAGAACCTTGTCTACATCCAAGATCCGCCGGCCGGAATGGTGTGGATGCCGTAGATCGAGGGGCGCGGCGCCAGCGAATCTCTTTTGTATGCATTTCCTCTCGTCAGCCCCTCAACCTCCACAGAACCCAGCCCAGGAGTCCACCAGAGGTGATCCAATGACCCCAAGCCCTATGGCGAAGAGCGCCTCCCCCGCACATCCACACCACCAGTCCATCACCGAGTCTCACCGCCGACAAGATAGCAGCAAATGTCGTGACCGCATTGTGGTTGTCTTGCCACTGTAGTCCTGCCAGCGTCAGTCCATAGCTGACTTCGCGGATGCCCTTGAACAGCATCAATGGTGATGCGGTGCCGATTGACGTGTCGCGCGAGAGCGAGGGCGTTGCGTCTGCAAGCTCAAGTGGCAGGCCAACATGAGCGTATTCTTCTGTGGGCTTCGCAATTGCCATGAGTCCACGGCCGATGCAGGCAACGCCGAGTATGTATGCTGGGACTTGCGAGGGCGCCATGGTTCTTTGTTGAGATTGTGAATGTTTGTAGAAGCGCTGGGTATGACCGTCCACTGCAGACGCACCGGAGTCAGCCTTGATCGCATTGCCGCGTCAGCACGGCATTATTCAGGCCCGAATTCCATCAACGATAGTGGTCCCGCCAACGCCTGGGAATACTTGCTGACACGAGCCATTTTGCTGTGCGCGTCCCCATGTTCCACGCGATCACCATTTCGCTTTCATGAGAACGAATCCAGGATGAGATACATTTCAACAACCGACGTGCCTTAGTGTCATCAGTGTAGGCATTTTTGAAGCACGGAACGATTTGCTAGACTCCAAAGATGGATTTAGCGTCCTGTGCGAGGCGGCTCATCAGCCAAGACATGCAGTGACATGCATCGCACCAATGGTATTTTGCATTCCCTCCCTCACCGTGTATTCACCTGGTTGGGCCACTGCAGCGTAAACACGAACAAGCGCCGTGGGCGCCGATGAGGTCTTGGTGACTTGCACAGAGAGTGCTGTCTACTACGTCTCTGGATTGAAAAGTGACTCGAATACCCGCATAACAGCACCCGGCATCACTCAAAACCTGGCGATTATCAGCACTTCGAGGCTATCTCAGGGACTACTTGTAACGAGTCACGTTGTCAGTAATCTTATCCAAGATCTAGAGCTGGAGCTAAGAGAAGTCGAGTGAAAGATCACGAATACAAACTGGCTTGAGGCACAGTTATCGAGAGCAATGTAGAAGCAAAGATTAACCCGGGCTGCTGGCAGCGCGGCAATCTGAAGGCAGAATTATCGGACCGAAAGATTCTGAGTGCATCTTGCAGAGCATTGCCTTTGCACGCATAGAAGATAGTTAAACAAGTGACGAAGCCGATGAAACCAGCCAAGTCCGGGTACTGTTTGAACGCAAAAAGGGGAAGAAAAGAATGGGAGAGGATCAAGGTAATCAAGGTGAAAGCAAGGTATGTCTAGTTTGTCGATGCTGTAGATGCTGTCAGAAGCCGCGAATTTGGAGGCGGAGCTGAAAAGAAAATGCATAACAGTAAAGGCTTGCACAGAACGTCATGAGATAAGTTAGGAAGAACCTGTTTTGGTTGTTTTCTTTTCGCAGAAAAGAAAAAGGGGGGGAGTTTTCATGCTTCGAGGTTTTGATGCTCATTCATGTCTGGTAACACATGTCGGGATGCTTTTGTTTAGGTATACAACCCGGCCTTGACATCGCTGTAGTCCCGAATTCTTCATGTCATGAACTCCACGTGAAGTGCGTTCGTCCTCTGACCTGTGACAGCTCATTCGCCAGCTGATTCGATCCTGTGTTTACCACCCACCCACTTATACAAGACAGTACATCAGAGATGAAGCAACAAGTGGCAGTTGCATCAATCGGTTCAAACCAATCTACTGCAAGCGAGCGATTGACCCAGACAATCGATCTTCGATGGCACAGTGGAGCTAAGTGTTAGCGCACACACATGCCCGGTGTCAGCCCGTCACCCACGGACAACACGAAGACAACCCGGACAGTGACCACCGGCAGGCCGGCATCCTGGCGCTTTTACCCGCTATGTTCCTGAGACTGATGGTTTAAGCTGCCATGTGACACCCATCCGCCGCGTCTGGGCTTGACCTGAAAGGAGTCCAACGTCTCCACTCCAGCCAAAGAAAAGGCCACAGATCACGCCACTTTTGACGCATCCCAGGTTGGCACGAGCGGCAACCCCGTCACATCACCGAGGCATATCCGCCCGACCGACGAAAGGGAGCATAAGAACGGCGGTGACCCCCGAGCGTCGAGTGAGTCGGTCTGGTCGGTCTGTCAAACTCCGTGGGGAGAGGAATTGGCAAAGCATCGTACCGCGCTGCAACGTGTGACCAACGAGATCCCGAGCGACCATCACTCCTCTTCCCACGGGCAGCATCACAGCGAGTACACAAAACAAGAATTGCGACAGGTAGGCAGACCTGGTGCGTCCGCTGGCTTGGGAGGGGCTCTAGCTGATGAGGCTGGGCAGCATCAGAGCTTGACGACAACTTGACGGCACCATTACCCAACCGACACAGGCTTACGAAGACCGATTCCCGACTTCGCAATGTGGATCACGCGACTCGTCTCCCTGACCAACTTCGCCGTGGCTTCGTCGGCACTCGGTTTCCAGGTCTTCGTTCTGTACCCCTGGCACGAGCAGCTGCAGCGCGACTTTGAGGACCTCAAGAAGGAACACCTGCGAGTGCTGGATGCCATCCGTGACATGGATGTCGAGGTCAAGCACGAAGCGAGCCGAACCATTCTGCAGCGACTAGGATGGCGCCAATAATAGATTCCATTTCTGGGTGAGGGATGAACAGACGGTCTTCGGAGTGTTAAAAACTAGAAATACCCAGTCTTGCGACTCCAATCGATTGCCACCAAATCCTTAGCCCGCGCTTTTGCAGAATTGCAGTGCCGAAGACCACGAAACCCGATCTTGTAGGACAAAGTGATGCAATGTTACATGGTATTCGACAACAGTGGTAGGAGCAGACTGTCGGGTGCTTGACGCTCGACTGAGGCTCTTGCCGGCTCCGGTATCATTGCAAGACAACTTATGTAATTGCGTCTCGGATGTGATAGATAAAGCTGCCGAGTAGTTAGTAAGGTGATCAACATGACAGGTGCCTGTCGCGGTTCCGACTGAGCATGGGTGGTCTGAAGCTACGATAAGATGCCTCGGAGAGGGAACATGCTTCCGTCATGAACACGAAATGTCTGACCTCGACAAACATATCAAGCCGCTGCAATCCAGGTTCAACACTCTCAAATTTTCTGCGTTGTCCAACACGATTCGCTTCTACGCTTTCTCTCGCTTCAGATACCTCGCCTCTCTAAACGTAAGAAATCGAAGGACCTGTCACGGCACTCACTAAAACTCATGGGTCCCAGGAGGAACAACCTCCTGAGGAATAGTGAACTTCCCCAGCCATGACGTCCAGGTGCCGGGACAAGGAATACCCTTACCGTTCATCATCTTAGCACGCTTTACCGGCTGAGGTCCTTACAGACGTGGAAACTGCAGCTTTTCCTGCAGTAGCACCAGGGCTATCACAGCTTGTCAGACGCGCTGCGTGAGTGTCCTACGAGGAGCCCCAGAACCTTCTACCAGTGACAATGCGGAAACAGGCAGTGGGAGAAGTCTTGCACTCGGACATTCGACCCTGCGAATGCGTATTGCCATGCATGTAACCCAGTCATTACTCTAGCACAATGCTTGGCCAACATCGTGAAGCAAGGCCTTCCAAGTCTGCCAGAGAAGTAGATGTCACGTCACTGTTGGACTGTTGGCGCAAATCTTGCGGGTTTATTCAACTGTTTTTGTTTGGTACTCATCTCTTCATCTTCTCGCTCGCGCAAAATCATGCTGATTCTAATCATACAAAACTGTAATCGAGGGTCATTGTCACTCCACAATGCCCGGACGCCGGTCTCATGCTCTGTAATGAATGACGGGGTATCGTACCATCTCTGAAACGCCACACTAATGAAAATGAGAATGAAAATGAAAACAGACAACGCAATCGATCAGGAAAAGCCTTTCCGATGTAAGGCAGGTGAGGACCAGAGCTTACTGACCCTTCTCAACATCCCTCTCCTTGGTGGCCTCGTCGGGGGAAATGACGATAGCAGGAGCGACAACAGGCGACTCATTCGCAGAAGCGCCCTTGCCGGACTTCTCTTCCTCCTCATCTTCGGCCTTCTTCTTGAAGACCATGCGCCAGACCTTCTTGAAACCGCCGCCGATGGCTCCGAAGAAGCGAGACGAGACCCTGGCTACGGGGCGATAGATGAAGAGAACGGGCACACCGACCCTGTGAGCAATGGCGCCGAACCACGCATCTGGGAAGAAGCGGATAAGGACAGCCATGGGCAGGGATAGCATGGCGAGCACGACACAAATGGCCCACTGGACACCGTCGATGGGGTCGGGAGAGATGCTGAAAGCCTCCTTGCCGACAAAAATGATGGCGACCTGAGCGCCGACCATGATGCAGTTGATGCCGATGAAGAAGGGATTGCGCTGAATGCCTTCGAAGATATTGAGCTTGTTGTCAAGACGACGGTTGTTGAACTCGTTGAAGATTTGCATCCAGACAAACGTGTTGAAGATCATAGTGTCAAGCTCAAGCTGCTTCTGCGCGTCGCTAGTATCGTATCCGAGGATGCGGGCGCCAGCAAAGTGCAAGATCAAGGTCGCCGTGAGCTGGAAGATGGCCTGGCCGATGATCATCTTCCACATGTTGAGGGTGATGAGAGGAGCCTTCTTGCCCTGCGGCTTGCGATCGAGGATCTTCTCGGTGGGAGGGTCGGTGGCAAGAGCGAGGGCAGCAAATGTGTCCATGATGAGGTTGACCCAAAGGAGTTGCACAGCAGTGAGAACTGACTTCATCTCGGGGTGCGACACAGCACTGATGAATGCCAGAAGGACGGCTGTGATGTTGACCGTGATTTGGAACTACATCTGTTAGAACAAGCCAACGCACGCTCACAGGGCGCTAAACATACCTGGAGGAATTTCTGGACGGCGTCGTTGACTGCACGTCCCCACTTGAGAGCCGTCAGGATGGAAGTGAAGTTGTCGTCCATGAGAACAATGGCCGAAGCTTCCTTGGCCACCTCGGTTCCGCTGATGCCCATAGAAAAGCCAACGTCGGCAGCCTTGAGTGCGGGCGCATCGTTGGTACCATCGCCAGTGACAGCCACAGTGTCGCCCATGGCCTTGAGTCGAGTCACCAGGATACGCTTGTCCTCGGGCGAAGAGCGAGCCAGGACCTGAAGGCGGGGAAGCTGCTCGGCGAACTGCTCCTCGGTAAGGGTCCTGAACACAGGGCCTTCGAGAATCAGGCCGCCCTCGGTGTAGATGCCGCACTCGGTAGCGATAGCCTGGGCAGTCACAGCGTTGTCTCCCGTCACCATCCTAGTCGTAACGCCAGCACCGGCAGCCTTGCGAACAGCCTCTGGGACGCCGGGGCGGACAGGATCCTGGATACCAACGACACCAAGGAAGACGAGGTTCTTAAGAACAGCAGCAAGATCGGCATGGCCATCCTTTGACTCAACATGCGAGGGAGGCCACTGCGGGAAGTCGTAGTAGACCATAGCGATAGTACGGAGAGACTTCTTGGCGTAGGTGGTAATAGTGGCACGAAGATGATCGCGGTCGCCCTCAGTCATCGAGCTGATTGCCAGAGAGTTGATGTCGACGGTCGAATCGCAGTAGTCGAGCAGAATCTCAGAAGCACCCTTGACGAGAAGTCGGTAACCTCCGTTGCCAGGCAGCTTGACAACAGCACCCATGCACTTCTTGCTCGAGTCGAAAGGCATCATTTGCGCAACAGTCTCGTTGGCTCGGGTCTCTGCAAGTGACTGCATGCCCATGTGGTTGCGAGCGAAGTGCAGCATTGCCGTCTCCGTCTTGGATCCGATGAAAGTAGCCTCACCATCTTCCTCACCCTCAAAGGCGGTCGAGTTGATGGCGATGGACTGAACAATAAGCTCCTTGGTAGCAGCAGGCAGCGAGCTAGCGAACCTGACAACGCCAGTGCTCTCGTCAGACTCCGACTTGGAGAAATTGGCAGAACCAAAGGCGCCGGCAACAACAGTCATCTTGTTCGTGGTCAAAGTACCCGTCTTGTCGGAACAGATCGTGGTCGCGTTACCCATCGTCTCGCAAGCGCGAAGGACGCGGACAAGGTTCTTCTCCTTGAGGAGGCGGGTGGTTGCGAAAGCGAGGGCGAGGGTAACAGCAAGAGGTAGACCTTCGGGGACGGCGACGACGATGATCGTAATGGCGACAATCAAGATATCCATGAAGGCAGAGCCCTTGTCGGCAGCGGTGCGGGTGTCTGTATCGAGCTGGGCGACGAAGCGGAAGAGCAGGACAAAGAACAGGAGGGCGGCCGAGGCGAAACCAAGCTTAGCAATGGCCATGGCGAGACGCTCCAGCTTCTTCTGCAGGGGTGTCGCGTCCATCTCAGTGCGGACAGACATCATGATCTTGCCGAAGCTCGAATTGGTGCCGACGGAGGTGACCACGAAGGTACCCATACCCTCAAGAACCTTGGCGCCGGAGATGATGAAGGGGTCGAGATCCTTGGGGGCGTTGCCAGTCTGCAGCAGGTGGAAGGCCTGATCACCGGGAGTCTTCTTGAGAGCATCAGACTCGCCGGTAGCAGACGACTCGTCGCACTTGAGATCATGGCCGGTGATGAAGATGCCGTCGACAGGTACGAGATCGCCAGGCTCAAGGTGCAAGACGTCGCCGACGATGACGTCGTGAACATTGATCATGAAAGACTTGCCAGAGCGGATGACCTTGACCTCTCGGTCGTCCTTTTTCGCGTTCAGCTTAACGAATGCCTTTTCCTTCTGCCAGTCGTTCAAAGAGCCGACGAGGGTGACGATGAGGATGGCAACGCAAATGGCAACGCCCTCGACCCAGTCGACAGAGGGAGGATCATCGGGCCCATGCTCGACGCCAAAAGTCTCATACAGGCCCAACGCCAGCGAAATAATGGCAGCACCGGTCAGCAGGATCAGGATGGGGTCCTTGTACGTCTGCCACGCCAACTTCCACAAGGGCGTGGCCTTCTTGGCGGGCAAGGTGTTGGTGCCGTAGGCGCTGATTCGATCCTTGAAGCTCTCGCCAGAAGTTTGATACGGGGCGAGACCCTTGACACCATCAGGCAATACGTAGACTGGGGACTTGTTATTCGTGGCGTCCTCGAAAGTTACACGACGGGAGACGGTGGTTTCGTCGATGCTCAAGCCGGACTTGAGATCGGTCTGGAGACCCTTCGCGAGACCATTGACGCCGCCGAGGGCATAGAAAGCCGAGAGAGACTTTGGTGAGAAGTTTGTTGAGATGGCCAGGGCTGAAGGCGAACGAGCTGTCCGCAACGTGGAAGTCGCCTTCAGAACCCGGGATCCGGGCGAAGGGCGGATTCAACATCTTCGATAATGATGCTGCCGCTCCTGGAACGTATGCTGGGGGCGATTGTGCTACCGCCGGGGGTCAGAAATGGGTTGGAATGCGTCGAGGTCGTCGGAGAGGCTGCTATTGTGTCGTCGTCGCCAGACGATCGCGGCCTGGATGTGCTGACGTGAAGGGAGGGAATGGCGAGACTATCCGAGCGATTCCTCTGTGCTGTGGTGTTGTTGGTTGTGGCGGCCGCTGGAGGCGGCGGAGGCGAAGGTGAGCTGGACCTCCTAGGACTTTCATCGCTGTCTTCGGAGACTCTTGGGCTGGCCGTCTCAATCTGAAATACCGGCGGCGTGAGGCCG